TGCTGGCAGAAGTAAGGTGGAAGGTCTGGACAGTGGTTTGGAGGCAGGGATGTGGTCCGGGATGGCCGGAACAACATTCAATGGGAGAGAAAGAAGATTTCTGGTGTCTCTCACAGCGAGGCCACCAAGTGGGAGTGCTGGAATCGCAAGGAACTTTGGTTGGAATGAAAAAACATAAAAGGAAATTGTAGTCACAGCGATGAGGAATGTTAGGGCCCAGGGGACTGCAACACGGCAAGAAGATGGGTGTCCGGGGTGGAGGCAGTGGGGACAAGTGGCTAAAATCGAGAAACTATTAGAAAAACAACAATATGCGGCTATTTGGTGGCGGTGCACCAAGGGAGGGCGGCCGGGAGCACTGTTTGGAGGATGCAGAAGAGAATAGAGAAAATAATTATCACCCGAAGACCAAGATACAACCGAAACACTATTTAGAATCCTTGGATTGAGCCCTCGACTGGAAGAAGAGATGCCAACGGTACCTTGATATAAAACACATGAAAAACTACAAATCTCATACAAAGGAATCACATAAATAAGCCTTAGAGACTTAGGATTGGACCTCCCTATGGAAAGGAGGAGCCAAACCAATGCGGGGGAGCTGGTTGAACTCCCATGTCTGAGCCAGTTCGGTCCAGACGATGGAATCGCGGGATTGAATCCCATGCCTCTTTATGCCTGCGTAATTGAGTGCTAGAAATGTTAATATCTAACACCTAAAATTTGATATTTACATTTATAATACTTTGGTGTCATAATCCTATGCATGAAAAGTTGTATTTCAACTTTAAAAAGTTAATAATGGCAATATTTTTGATGTGATGTTAACATTTTGAGTGTTAGAAATGTAAATATGAAAGTTTTAGTGTCAGATATGTAAATACATAAGAAGTGTGGTATGCATGTAAATACCCCTAAAAAAAGAAAAAAAAAACATTTGGCGTCAGATTGAGTTATGAAGCCGTTGTTGGTTAATGGAATTCTTGCTCTAGTTCAACTGGCTCCACTTTGATTACTTTCTAATAATCTTTTTGTAGATCTCAACCTTAATGACACTTTTAATCGAACTGCAATTTCTTGTTTTGTTTGCGAGTGAATGATTTTTCTGAATAATATGTTTGATATTATTAAATTAAAGTTACGAGTTGTTAATCCAAAAACATTAATACTTCAAATTCTATCTTTTCAAGGTTTTCTTTCCTGGATATTTCTTTGATTTGGTTTGATGCATCTGAAAATACTGATAAAATTTTAATTTTCATAAACCAAAATTGTTTTAACAAAGGAAATAATTTCTTCCATTTGATAATCCTCATTTCTTTGTTTACTTAGATGCCTATGATTCTCTGGACCCCACTGGGAACATAACCATCAAATGGGATATAATGCAGTGGACTCCAGATGGCTATGTTGTAAGTTCAATTCACTTCTAGTAAAAAAATTGATCTCTTTGTTTCAAGTTCATGATTCATTAAAAAAAAAAAAAAGGAAGAGCTACCTGCTTATCACTCAATTCTTATGCATCTACATATCTAACACCTAAACTTCAATTTTTTATATATATGCCATTTTGCTTATACATGAAAAGATTCCTTTCACCTTTTAAAAGTTAAAATAATGGTATTTTTTATGTGATATGAAACATTTGGATGCCATAAATGTAAAAAATACAACAACAACAAGCCGTTATCCCACTAAGCGTGGTCGGCTACATGAATCATTTTTCTCCATTGCATCTTATTGACTTTCATATTTTCATTTAATTCTAATAAATTAAGATCATTTTTTATACAATATGCCTAGATTTTTGTAGGTCTACCTCTGTCTTTCTTAATATAAGTCGAATCTAAAACATCTATTCTTCTAATTAGATCATTAGATGGTCGATGTTTAATTAGACTAAATCATGTAAGACGAATCTCTCTAATTTTGTCTGTCACTACAGCTACACCAACCCTATCACAAATATATTCATTTCGCATTTTGTATCTAAGTGTAAAGCCACTCATCCACCTAAGCATTCTCATGTTTTATGCTTCTCTTTTAAAGGCCCAACATTCTGCTCCATAGAGCATTGCAGGTCTCAACATTGTCTTTTAAAATTTTCTTCAGCCTAAGCGGTACTTTTCTATGACACAATAGCCCGAAGCATTCTTCCACTTCAACTAACCAATTTGAATTCTACTAGTACCATCCCCATTTATATTACCATCTCAATGAACAATAGATCGGAGATATCTAAAGGACTTGCACTTTTTAATAAAAGTTATGAATGTAAAAAACAAAATTTAAATGTTCGTTATGTAAATGCACAGTAATTGTGTGGTGTGTATGTAAATGTCCCCCTAAAAAAAACATTGAATCAAATTACGTAAATTCTCAGGCCGTTGTTACCATCAACAACTACCAACAATATCGCCACATTCAGTCGCCAGGATGGATATTAGGATGGACGTGGTCGAAGAAGGAGGTTATATGGTCTATGGTTGGCGCACAAACTACCGAGCAGGGAGATTGCTCGAAATTTAAGGGAAATATTCCTCATTGCTGCAAAAAAGATCCATCTGTTGTTGATCTTCTGCCCGGAACTCCATATAATATGCAAATAGCTAATTGTTGCAAGGGTGGAGTGATTAGTTCATGGGTTCAAGATCCACCTAATGCTATCAGCGCATTTCAGCTCAGCGTCGGTTATGCAGGTACAACAAATAAGACGGTTCGTGTGCCTAAGAATTTCACGCTCAAAGCTCCCGGTCCCGGGTATACTTGTGGAGCTGCGAAGATTGTGAAGCAGAGCAAGTTTGT